GGTCTGCAGTCTCTGCATCAATCCTGTGAGAGGTTATCTGTAACATCACAAGATGTGAGAGTCAACCATTTGTGTAGGATGTGATTGAAGGAAAGCTGCCAACAGATCTGAGGGGGTTCTTTCAGTTCTCCACGAACTGTGAGTCTCTGTTTCTGTGTTCTGGAGCTAGGGATGTGGTGGAGAATAAAACAAAGATGCTGTCCTCACAGAGCTTACATGTTTTTCAGGCAGTGATCCAACGAACCAGCAAATATGCAATGTCATGTCGGCCAGGGATAAACGGGGTGGAGAGGCACAGCAGAGTGCAGGACTGGAAAGAGTGATGGTGTGGGCTGTAGGGATGGCTATTGTGAGTGGGCAGCTGGGGAGGCCTCAACATGGGATGACATTTGAGCCAAGACCTGATTTAAGTGAAAGACGGGGCCGAGCACAGACATGGAGGAGACACATTCAGATCACAGGAGACAGCCAGTGTGAAAGCCCTGAGGGTGAAGCAGCCATGGTGTGTTCCAGAAGGAACAGGGAGATCTGTGTAGCCAGAATCAAGTGAAGGGGAAAGGAACAGATGAGGTTGGAGAAGCAGCTGAGGACTTTGGGGCCTTAGGATTTTATTCCAAATGTAATGGGAAACCACTGAAGTGCTTTGTGTAGGTGAGTGACAGGGTCTGATTTCAAGATCAAAAGTTTTACAAGCCAGTTTAGTTCCTCCTTGAAGCTAAGATGTGATTCCTAAGAACAGAATTTTCCAGGGCTGGGACTATTAAAAGTTTCCTTTGAACCACTGGTTTTATGATTCAACTGAGAATTTTTAACTGCTACCCAATGAGATGACTTGCCCTCCATATTGTAAAAGTTCTCATTTCTGATGACCTGTTCATGGGCTGAAATTCCATTTCAGGAATGGGAAAAACCATTCCCCCGAGATAAAATTCACAGCCTGTGCCAGGGCATATGTAAATGAATAATCCAGAATCAATATGAGATCACGTGATGTGGGAAGCCTGTGGATGGCCACAGGAAACCCCTCCTTGCCCAGCAGTCGGGGCAGCTCAGGCAGTGGCACCTATCGACCCTAGACCCATTGCCCAGGTGTGCTCCCAGGCTGCAGAGGCTCCTGACTTGCAGAGCTCCTGGGGCCCGCTCTGGCCACGGAAATGGAAAACTTCCCAAGTGGGCAGTGGCCCTCGCTGCTCCCAGTCCTTCTGTCTTCTGGAACTTTTTTGTCACTTGTGTGTTTCAATTTTTTTTTCATAATTCTGTTGTCAATGGCACCAAAAAGGGCATACATATAAATGATTATTATTTTTATTACGTGGTTTTGGTCTACACAGCCTCCTCCCAACCCTGTGGCAGGAAACCTGAAGGGCCTTCAAAGGAGTGTTGGAAGAGCCTGCTGACCGGGGGCCCTCCGTTTCCTGGAGTCACTCAGGTCTGTCTCTCCTACCTTGAGCAGGGGTTAGGGTGAGGCTGCCAGATCAAGCAGCTTTATTTGACTTTGAACTTTAAACTTTTAAATTTGAATGTCAGACAAACAACAAAAACCAAACCTCTTACACTAAAATTAGTATCTTATACTAAACATTTGTTCATTCCTATTTGAAATTCGAATTTAACTGGGAGACCTGGATTTTGTTTTCTTCTACTAAATCTGACTATCCAAGTCCAGGGCCATAACCAGAAGCTCCTGACTTCCCACTGGTTTCCCGGAAAACTGCCGCTCAACAGCAAGAGTCCAGCCCAGGGTAGCTGGCCCCTGAGGTCATGTGACACAAATCCCGTGAGAACGCGTGGGGGCCAAAGACAGAGCATAGAGCAGGTGGGCAGGCAGGACGCGGGGGCCTGTGAGCGGCATCAGCCCCAATTCCCTGGTGTGCCCTCTGGATTCCCTTATTCCAGGACCAAAGTAGACGGGTGAGAAGAGAGTCAGGTCCCCTTCATCTGATCTGTGTGTTGATGAACTTAGATCCAGAAGCAACATAATAGGACCCTCACAAATAATGTTTTAAATTATTCAAGTTTTAGGGTTTAGATCTTCTTACCCCACAAAATATACTTCAAGCCCCATGGAAAAGAGAAGGGGAGAAGTCAGTGACAAGGTGGCCTGGAGTGGAGAAAGTGCCCTTGGGTTGGCTTGAGTTGGCTGAGCCCTCTCTAGGGAACCCCAGTCTCCCGGATGAAAGACTTAACTGAGTAAAGCTGGGGATTAAAACACCTCCGCAACATTATTCCCACCAATTCTTGTTGGAATTGGTGCCTGCCCAGTAAATTGTTTTAACATTGTCTCAAAGTAGAACAAACATTTTGAAGATCAGTTTTCCACAAAACAATGCAATATATTTTAACAGTAGATTTTTAAAATGAGAATGTGAACAATTAAACAGGTCTAAACAAAGAAGATTTAATCACATCCTTGCTGGTTGAAGAAAAATAAAACACTATGCAGAGACAATGAAGAGTATTTTTTTTTTTTTTTTTTTTTTGAGACGGAGTTTCGCTCTTGTTACCCAGGCTGGAGTGCAATGGCACAATCTCGGCTCACCACAACCTCCGCCTCCTGGGTTCAGGCAATTCTCCTGCCTCAGCCTCCCGAGTAGCTGGGATTACAGGCGTGCGCCACCATGCCCAGCTAATTTTTGTATTTTTAGTAGAGACAGGGTTTCACCATGTTGACCAGGATGGTCTCGATCTCTTGAAATCGTGATCCACTGCCTCGGCCTCCGAAAGTGCTGGGATTATAGGCGTGAGCCACCACACCTGGCACTACATGTATTATTTTGAATCTTGCTGCTTTAACTCAACAGTATATTTGTGAGATTCATCCATGTTGTTCCATGTAGCTATAATTTATTTATTATCATTCCTGTGCATTCCACTGAATGAATATTATGATATATTTATCAATACTACTATTAGCAAGCATGTGGATTGCTTCTGGTTTTTGCCTATTATGAATAATGAAGTTACGCATATGCTTAGGTGTGTTGGTCAGTAGATAAGCCAGTTTTTTAGAGTGGTAGTACAGATTTACATTTCCTCCAGCAGTGTATGAGCATTTCAGCTGCCCCACATCCTCACCAACACTTGATATTGTTATTCTTCTTAAATGTAGCCTTTTTGGAGGGTATGTAGAGATGTTTCAGTATGCTTTAAATTTATGTATTCATTGATTACTGTTGAGGTTGAGCATCTTTTCATAATGTTGATTGATCTTTTGTTAATTCTCTTTTCTAAAGTACTCGATAAAGTCTTTTCTTCATTTTAAAAATGGAGTTGTTTATCTTTTTGGTTTGTTAGAAAATCAAAAATACATTTTTCATACTGATTATCAGTCACATGGGGGTGACATATATATGTGTCTTGTTTTTCTGTTTTAGAGATCTTTATAATAATGAATTTGAAAGCTTAGAGGAAAAGGCTATTTCCCAAAGTTGTAGAACTTATCAAAGACAACTAACATATGAATAGTCCTCTAATTATTAAAGAAAACCATAAAAACTGGGAGTAGGTTGCATGGATCAGATTGTGTTCTGGGTTATTCTGCAAAATATTCAAGAAACAGATAATTCTAATCTTATACAATTTTCCCCACATGTGATAGAAAAGAAAGTCACATTTGGTAACTCAGTTTACTACGTTGGTATAATCTTGATTCTAAAAGCAATCGAGAAGATGGATTACAGGCCAATACCACCTACCATATTAAATTATTAAACAATGAAACAAAACAAATTAGCAAAGTGAATCTAGCACTATATTTTAATATATCTCTTCATTAAATTAAACTTTTGTAAGAAATGCAAGAATGTTTCAACATTAGGAACTACATTGTAATTAACCACACTAAAGAAAAGCAAACTTTAGGGCTGGGCGCGGTGGCTCAAGCCTGTAATCCCAGCACTTTGGGAGGCCGAGGCGGGTGGATCATGAGGTCAAGAGATCGAGACTATCCTGGTCAACATAGTGAAACCCCATCTCTACTAAAAATACAAAAAGTTAGCTGGGCATGGTGGCCCGTGCCTGCAATCCCAGCTACTCAGGAGGCTGAGGCAGGAGAATTGCCTGAACCCAGGAGGTGGAGGTTGCAGTGAGCCAAGATGGCGCCATTGCACTCTAGCCTGGGTAACAAGAGTGAAACTCCGTCTCAAAAAAAAAAAAAAGAAAAGCAAAATTTAAAAACTTTTTGAAGCACACAAAAAAAGATCTATACTTTTTGAAAAAAGAAGCCATAAAATGAGAGAAAGTATTTCCAACACATTTAAACCCAAAAGGGGTTAATAGAATATATGGGGAACATTTACAAATCAGAAAAGTATAAACAATCCAATGGAAAAATGGGAGAAGGGTATGAATAGGCAATTCATGGAAGAAAAAATATATGAAAGCTCAGTGAGTACTTGAAAAGCTGTTTAACCTCATTCGTAATCCAGAAATGAAAATTAATGTCAAAGTGAGGTGGTATTGTACACCAGCCAGATTTGTAAAATCTGAAACATCTCAAATACCAAATGTTTATAAGCATGTGAAGTAACAGGGACAAATGTAGCTGCCACTCTTAGAAATTAGTACAGCCACTTAGGTCAACAGTTTGGCATTAAAGATACACATGCCCTGTTCAGCAATTCTACTTGTATGTATACTATCCAGATAAACACTTGCACATATAGTACACTGGTATGTATTAAAATATTTATAGAAATACAATTTAAAAATGGAAATAACTGGAACACCCTCATCCTCCCCTCCCAGTGAACAGATAAAACTTTTGTTAGAGTCATCCAGTGGAACTCTATGCAGCAGTGAAAATGAATGAACTAGAGTAGGGGTTGTTAAACATGGCCCACAACCAAATCTGGTCCATCACTGGTTTTTGTGTGGCTCAAGAACTAAGAATGACTTATAAAGATGGATATTTGCAGCAGGTAAGAAATAGTCACTTTGATGTTATTCTCCCCAAAGAATTTCATTCTTCTCAATCTTTATTAAAAAATTGATTTGAGGTGGCCCCGGAAGAACCTCGTCCTGGGCGGCTGTGGCGCGGCGGTCGCCGTGATGGCCTCGGGGCTGGGCGGCTGACCGCCGGGCTAGGAGAGGGCACAGCGCCCCGAATCTCAGTGGCCGCTGTTCGAGCGCGGCCTGCGCCATGGCCACCTCCGCCGCCTCCTCGGAGCATTTCGAGAAGCTGCACGAGATCTTCCGCGGCCTCCATGAAGACCTGCAAGGGGTGCCCGAGCGGCTGCTGGGGACGGCGGGGACCGAAGAGAAGAAGAAGTTGATCAGGGATTTTGATGAAAAACAACAGGAAGCAAATGAAACGCTGGCAGAGATGGAGGAGGAGCTACGTTATGCACCCCTCTCTTTCCGTAACCCCATGATGTCTAAGCTTCGAAACTACCGGAAGGACCTTGCCAAAATCCATCGGGAGGTGAGAAGCACACCTTTGACAGCCACGCCTGGAGGCCGAGGAGATATGAAGTATGGCATATATGCTGTAGAAAATGAGCATATGAATCGGCTGCAGTCTCAAAGGTCCCTGCTTCTACAAGGCACTGAAAGCCTGAACCGGGCCACCCAAAGTATTGAACGTTCTCATCGGATTGCCACGGAGACTGACCAGATTGGTTCAGAAATCATAGAAGAGCTGGGGGAACAACGAGACAAGTTAGAACGCACAAAGAATAGACTGGCAAACACAAGTGAAAACTTGAGCAAAAGTCGAAAGATTCTCCGTTCAATGTCCAGAAAAGTGACAACCAACAAGCTGCTGCTTTCCATCATCATCTTACTGGAGCTCGCCATCCTGGGAGGCCTGGTTTACTACAAATTCTTTCGCAGCCATTGAACTTCCTATAGAAAAGGGTTTGTGGACCAGACTTTGACCTTGTGAATGGATGATGTTAGGGATGTGGATAGAATAAGCATATTGCTGCTGTGGGCTAACAGTTCAGGGGTGCACTGTGTAGCCAGACTGTGGGAGAAGGGAAGGAAAGATGGAAAGCCACTTAAATGTGAAGGAACAGCAACAAGACCAATATGATATACCCAGGTAATAAATGCTGTTTATGACTTCTTTAAAAAAAAAATTGATTTGATTATTATAATAATATTACGTTTTGAATTTTGTCAACAAAGTTTTATGGGAAATTTGTCTTCCTCCTTATACCTCCATAAGTTCCTACATAATATCTTTGATTTGCTTCTTGGTCCGCAAAATCTAAAATATTTATTAACTGGCTCTTTACAGAAGGAGGTTTGCCATTCCCTAAACTAGAGCTAAATATGGGCTTATCTCACAACCATGGCATTGAGTAAAGAATTCAAGTTGCTAGAGCTTCTACACAGCAAAATACCTCTTTATGAGAAATAAAACCACAATGCCATCGCTTAGGAAGTCATGCACTTGTAGTTAAGAACATACGGAAATTTATAAACATAACGGAGGGTGGATGAGAGGGCCCGTGGCTGAGCTGGGGCTGGAAGCTACCCTGGCTATGGCAGTATTTCCAGTTCAGGCTTGAAAGACTGTGTGCTTCAAAGAGTATCACTGAGCAAAGGATGCCATGGTCAGCACAGGGAACAGAGAACACACTGGACTTGAAGGAGAGAAAGTGAGTTTGTAACTTTGGGTTCCTTTAAGCCTGGTTTTCTTGTGATTCCTGCCCTCTTACTGTTGAAGCTGTGGCCAGCCTGTTCCCAAGAGGCTGCCTCAGAGAAGCTCGCCTGGTCCAGGGACATGGAGACAGGCCATGTGGAGTTACCCAGGCAGGGACTGATGGTCAGTGGCTCCCAGGCCAAGCTCCAGGTGAACATTCAAGGCTGGGGTTTGAGAGTGGGAAGCTAACCAACCCCACTGCTCCTGCCACCAGCCCAGCGGCACAGGGCACCAACCGGAGCCTGCATTTCTCATCCCACTGGCCTGGTCCCCAACGTGCTGCAGTAATTGAGCTGCTCTTTAAATTAGGGCACATTCCTCTGGGGCCAAAGCTGGCCTTCTTTCCCAGAGGGAGGGAGTGTTTCCAAGTCAGGAGAGGAGTTAATGAAGAAACTGCATTGTATCCTCCTGCTGAGGGAGTGCACCTCCGGAAGTACAAGCTTGGAAGGGTTCAGACTTCCTGGAGGTGCAGTCAACACACTGATAGCAGAGAACTCTCACCAGTGTGGTCAGGCTGGCGCTGGCCTGGATTTGCTGGGCAGGCAACAGGCCACTGTCTGAAAGCTGACAAAGGAGCAGGCGATGGGGAAACAGTGGCATGGGCATACAGTGGGGACAGGAGCCTTCTGAGCACCTGAGCCACTGGAGGCTTGCAGGAAGTGCCGCACTCAGCATGGAACCTTCAGGGCCACAGGGCAGTGGGGAGCTAGGAGAGGAAGTCTGGGCGCTAGCACGGACAGCAGGCCTGCAGAGCACACAGGCTGCTCGGAGACTCCGGGGTCTGTGTTGAGAGGGCGGCAGAAAAGGTCGTCACCACACCCAGGCTGCAGGTGCAGCGGACCGCAGTCCTCACACCCGCACCGCCCTCCCGAGGCCCTCACTGGAAATGGCAGGAGCGCGCCTTCCTCCTGCAACGTCCCTTCAGCGCCCTCTACCGAGAGAGCTTGCCGAGCTCACCGAAGGAGAGAGTTTGCACAAGTCCACGTCAGCGCATGCACTGTATTGAAGGGTGCATTCGGAGCTGGAAGGCAATGCATACATAAAGCATACAAACTTTATTACAAATTCAGGATATAACCATACTAATGGGGACTGGGGAAGAGAAGGGACTGGCCTAAAAAACTTTGGAAGTTGATGCTTTGCCTGGAAATCATTAGGCTAAAAACGAAAGGCACTATGGACAATGTACTCTAATTGATAAATTTATTTTACATAAGGGTACGGGTTCAGGATTCTGAAACGGCTTCACAGGTGTGCTGGGGATGAGCAAGTAAGTAAATGGATGATAAAAGGTGGGCCAGGTTGTTCACACCGTGTGAGAGGAAAGTTACAGATGAACAAGAAAGGAAGGCTGGAATGAATCCTGGAGACTGGATTAGAGTTGGAGACAGTACGAAGCTCAATATATACACAGTTGGATAGATACAGAAGCAATGCGAATATGTGCATCTATATATCTATAATGATATAGTATGTATGAGTGTATCACCTGGCTCAGTCTGCTGAGAGGGCCTAGAGGCAGTGACACACTGGTGCTCAAATCTTGGGTTTCTAAATATCATTCTCCAATAAAAGGAGCAAAGGCTTCTTGGAGAAATGACTGATACAATACAAGAGTCTGGAGCATCTTGTAGCACCAGAAAGAAAGGAAGTACTCAAAAACAAAAAGGATGGGAACACATCACAGGGACACAGGAACCAGCCTGAAGGAGCTCCCAATGGCCAAAGCTGGAACGATGTGAACAAGATAATGAACATGGCATTGTATTGTATTATAGCCTTAAGTACTAAATAAATATATGTGAGGCTACTCTCATAGAAATGATTGAATAAAGAGAGTACAAAGACAAATCTTTCTTTTAATAGAGAATTTCAAATAGCATGCTAGACAGTCCTCCCCCCAGGGGACGAGGCTTAGTTCAGCCTCTGTCACCCTTTTTCTGGGTAGGCTAGACTCATTTCCAAAGAACAGAGTGTGGAAAGGGAAAACAGTAACTGGTGGAGAAACCTGCTAGATACCACCTTTATCCCAGTGATGAAGGTGAGTGTCACCAGCATGGATGTCATGCACCCTCTAATAGGATGTGATAAGAAAGGGGCTCCTCCTCTGTAGTATGCTTCCCCAGGGCCTGTAATCCCAGTCTAATGGTGAGAAAAACGTCTGACAGACTTAGACTGGGGGACATTCCACAGGACGCCTGACCAGGTACACCTCAAAACTGTTAAGATCATTAAAATTAAGGAGAAACTCAAAAACTGTCACAGGCCAGAGAGGGCTGAGGACACATGATAAATAAATGCAACGTGCTGTCCTGGATGGGATCCTGGAACTGAAAAGACGACGTTAATAGAAAAGCTGATGGACTCCAAATAAGCTCTGGCATTTGGTCAATAGTAACGTACCAATGTCAGCTCCTTAGTTTTGACAAATGTATCATAGTAATGTAAGATGGTAACAGTGGGGGACACTGGATGAGAGGTGGATGGGGAATCTCTGAAGGATCTTTGTAACTTTACTATAAAACTATACCAAAATGAAAAGTGTATTTTAAAACATGGGTGTATTGGGCAGGTAAGCCTTCCTTTGTGAGCCCCAGTTTTCTTACTTGTAAAATGAGGTAAGTAGTCTCCTCCAGGTCCTGCCAGGTCATGATGAAGAAATGTCTTTGTGGTCAACAGATGCATCATGCGAGTTGAGGGACAGGGGCGGGATAGTGAGGAGGCCAAGCTTGCACCTCTACGGGGTACCTTGGTCCACCTATGGGGCTAAGCTGGACTTCTGCTGGCCCTACAGCTTTCTTTACCCCTCTCTGTGGAGAGTGGCAGTTCTGGTGTCTATCTTACCAAAGTCTTCCCAGCTAAAATTCATTCTACCACTTTAGTTCCCGCCTCTGGGGAGATATGAGTTCCCTAATACAGCCTGGAGCCCACCTCATCTTCATGGATGGACGACAGACCTCTAAGAAACAAACTCACCCATTGGAACCTAAAGAATGGACTCAGAGATCCCGAGAATAGTGAAAGTGAGACTTTAAATGACAGTCTTGCAAGATTGGGTGTCTGGCGCGCAAGCATACCCAGCAAAGTTTCCACAAATGATTTATTCCCTAGTGCTCAGGTCCCTCTCCCGGTTCCCCATGGGCTGAGTGTTATGGGGTTACAATCTTCCTGGATGTTGCCTATTAGTTGTTAGGCAGGGGCTTTCATTTCTTGGGGAGGGGGGAGGCGTATCTTGCTGCATTTTGTTGCAGTCCACAATGCATTGCAATCCTAGTTAGCTTAAGGGCATTTTGAATATTTGACTTATGACCTAAGTAGCTGGGCAGGCTAAAAACAGACCATGCGAGCTATTTTGCAGACTAGGAAACTTTTATCTTAGACTAGACTTTTTGATTTGGGTGAGGGCAACTAAGGGTGGTGGAAGGGGGTGGAAGGGGGAGGCCGACAAGCAGGCATTGTCTATCCATGCAGGGACCTAGTATATCCTGTTTCTTCTGTAGTTTGCTGACCTAAGCCTATTCAAGGCACTTTGTCTTGGAAATGGACCACTGTATACCTGTCTGGGCCTTGGTCTCCAAAACCAGAAAATGGTAGCAACACTGAATGCACCACAAAATGCCGCACTGTGGCAATGAACCCTGACCCCAAAGCTTTGAGGACGATGACTTTACAGGTCTGAATGTCCACATCTACGGGAAGCAAAGAAGCTAATCAATGTGAATGGGCGCTTTAAGAGTGAAGGGCTGGGCACAGGTAGGGTGAGGGTTGAGGGCCTCCTGGGGCTGGGGCATCTCCTGCAGTCTCTTCCTCAGAGGGGAGCCTGCAACCCTCCCTAGGAGCCATGGTGGGCCCTCTGCCCCTGCCCCCAGCCTTAACCTGTGAGCTCAGCATTCCTGTGACTGCACTAAGCAAGCAGATGGTCCTCATTTGCCACCAGCAGCTGTCACAGAACTGTGGGTGGACACCTGCCCTACAGGGCTTTCTCTTTCCCGTGCAGGAGCTGCCGGCACTCCCAGAGGGAGGGAAGGTGGGAGCTCTTCTAAGGGACCAGGAAGTTCTGGAAAACTTCCCCTCAGCAGAGCTCCCTGCCTTCCCTCCCTCTGGGAGTGCCAGTAGTATCTGCATTCCTGCCCATTCTGGCTGTCTGGCAGGGAGCTCCCCGCAACCTTCCCAGTGGACGGTGTTGGTGGCCTTCATAGCTGGTCTGAGCCAGCACACTGGGCACCGAGGAAAACAAAGCATGAGGGCCTCCAGCAGCCCTTATCATCACCTGCCAGCCGCCTGCCTCAGGCTGGGCAGGCTGCACCCTGGGCTTTCTGCTACTGGCTTCCCGGGTCCCTGGAACTCCAGCTGGAGCCCTGGGTTGTGGTCTGACTTGTTCCAGAATTTAATGAGCAGAAGGAACGGAAGAAGGCTCATGCCCCCTGGCCC